GGCTTCAGGGAAAGGGCTGCCCGCGTGCGCGTCGGGAGGGGTTTAGGAGGGTCCAGGCCAGAGGTGTCTGACAGTGGCGGCCACCCCAAAGGGCATCTCTGCCCTCGGTGGTCCCCTTGGCTAATCTCCAGCTAAGGCGGTCTCCGGGAACTTCCCAGGAAATGGGACGACACAGTGGCCTCAGCCCCTTGGACCTCGGTCTGCAGAGGCCCAGAGTCGAGCTGGGCCCAGCCGAGCTGGCTGGATGCTGTTGGTTCGCTCTCAGGGATGGACCCCAAGACAGAGGTCACTCCCGTGCCACCCTCCTGAGCCAAGTGCCCGCAGGGAGGCTCCGCCTGCTGCTGCTGGGTTCTCTCCATCGCCTCTCCCTCCTCACGATGCCCCCCGACCCTCAGCAGTGGCCCCGTCCTGGAAAAGTCCCCTTCCCCCTGCGGGAGCCTGCCTGAGTCAGGCAGGAAGTCTCCCTCTGCATGGGCAAGGGAACCAAGTGCCAAGGCCCAGCTGGGTTCTTTCTCTCATTTTACAGAAGTGAAATTGGGGTGCAGAGAGGGTGGGCGACTGGCCCGAGGTTACACAGTGGAGGGTCAGTCACAGAAGCGGGACGCATGCCCCATCCTGGCTCCCAGCTCTGACTCTACGGTCCTGGCCTGGTCTTGGGAGTGGGGGCGGGGGGGGGGGTCAGTGTGCCACCGAGCAGCCTGGCCCTCAGGGCCTGGACGCTGGGGCCTTGGTTCCTTGCTCAGGCCCCTGTGGGGAGTGGACCAAAGCTGGGTCCAGTCACTTCCCACTCGGCTGTTCCACAAACTTTTACCGACGGCCCCGAGGAATGGCGGAGAACAGGAAGGGTTTGTGGGGATCGGCTCTACTGTCTCCCACACTTCTGGGTGCTCTGCCGAGTTTGAGGAGGCTCGTGTAGCCCCTTCTGGTTACGGGTGGGAAGCTGGCTTCAGTCTGGTGTCCCCCCTGAGGAGGCCTAGGGGCTGGGAGTGGAGCCCGGCTGGGTGGCCGGGCAGGGCCTATGGCTGAGACAGAGAGATGAGTTGGGGTGAGCAGACGGAGATGGGGAGCATGCTCCATCCCGGGGTGTGGGTGGTTTAACAGGAAGGCTATGTCAGAGGGGCACTTAGGGGGGTCCTGCTGGACACAGCCTGAGCCCAGGAGGCCCCTGGTCTGCCTGGTTCTGGGTTCTTGGTGGCGGCAGCAGCAGCAGCAGCAGCAGGCAGAGCCTCCCTGTGGGCACTTGGCTCAGGAAGGTTCCATGGGAGTGACCTCTGTCTTGGGGTCCATCCTTGGGCCGGCTGGGGTGTCGGCCTACTGGGGGCCTGTTCCCCCACACGCTCCTGTGTCCCTCCTGACCCCTACCCCCAACCTTGAGGCTGGAGGGGGGATCCCCCTAACTGAGCACCGAGGAACTCTCAGGATTAGCTGGTCATTGCAGGTACCACCCGGCCGCAGCTTGGGCACGCCCAGTGATGGGACACTCACTGCCCCCGGCCAGCTGGGGTGCCAGCCTACTGGGGGCCTGTTCCCCCACACGCTCCTGTGTCCCTCCTGACCCCTACCCCCAACCTTGAGGCTGGAGGGGGGATCCCCCTATCTGAGCACCGAGGAACTCTCAGTATTAGCTGGTCATTGCAGGTACCACCCGGCCGCAGCTTGGGCACGCCCAGCGATGGGACACTCACTGCCCCCAGGAAAGGACATTTTAGTCGCTCCCTGCATAGGGTGCCCAGTGGCTTCCTCCACGCAGCCCGGCTTCCAAGGGTGGACGGGTTCCGAGGGAGCTGCTGACCACTCTCTGAGGTCCTGTCTGATGACAGGTCTTTGTCCCGAGCTTGAGATCAGTGTTCGGAAACCCCCAGGCCTTGTATCCGGCACTGGTCAGCTCTCATACCCTTCACGGGTCTGGCAGATCCACGTCTGTTCTTCCTGAGTCAGCTGTCCAGGTGGCCACAGAGGCCACCGCGAACCCCCAGAGGCAGCTGGGAGCCACGGCCCATGGAAACCAGGCACCGGCCGAAGCCCGGCTTTCTGGACTCACTGGGTGGTGTGTATTCAGTGATTTGCACCTGACAGATGCTTCAGAAAGCATCTCTTTGCTGACAAAATGAAATCCAGCTCGATTACCATCATCTGTGTGCCGCCCGCTCCAGGAGCCGAGGCAGGCCAGCGCCGGCCAGCCCCTCCTCAGCCCCACGGGCTTTTCCCTCCCTGGACCAGGTCTGCGGCCCACGAGACAGCCGTCCCCGGCACCCCTGGCTCTCTCCTCCTCTCTGATGTTGCTTCGTGCCTCTGAACCCCACTTTTCTCTTCGTAACGTGGGCCTGACATTCTGTGCCCTGGCTGTCAGGGAGGGAGCTCATGAGGATCACGTAAAAGTGGGATGGCAGTGGTCCTTATAAAAGCTAAGCTCATGGTGTCACCGTCATCCGAGTGGAGCGGGGCTCCCACAGCCGCATCCCCGAGGCCATGGAGGCCCTCCCGGCCCCAGTGGACGACGCGGGCCTGGGCCTCCGTGCAGCACCGCGGGCCGGGCGGCCGAGCTACTCACACATGGGTTTCAGCTGCCCGATGAGCTCCTCTTTCGTCCACTTGGCCCACTCCTTCTTGTCGGTGTTGATGGAGCAGAGGATGGGCCCGCAGGGCTTGCCACAGTCCTCGATGGCCGGGACGTTGAGATAGTGCACCAGGACGATGTCGGGGTTCTGCGGGGAGAGACAGAGACTGGCAGCATGAGGGAGGCACGGAGCCCGTCCGGGGTTGCCCCCCAGCAGGTGCGGACAGGCCAAGGGGCCCCCACCCAGCTTCCTCAGCCTCGTGGAGCCAGATGGTCCCCTGCCGTGGGGACCATCCCGTGCAGCGTCGCCGGGCTCCACCCGCTAGATGCCAGCAAACCCAACCTCCGGCTGCGACAGCTGGAAATGTCTCCAGACACTGCCCAAGGTGCCCTGGTTGACACACGAAGGACCACACACGCGGCAGACGCGTCTCTAACCCCACGTCCTGGACCTTGAGCCAATGCCTGCCCGGGAGCGCAGGCATCGCCACCCCTTCTTCCCAAGGGGAAGTGGAGTTCCCAGGGGGTCGGGCACCCCGTTTCTAGGTGGACGTCCCTCTGCCCTTCAGCCCGCGGTCTTCTCTCGCGCAGACAGCCCCACCCGCATGGCACGGTCCTTCCAAACCTCACCCAGGAGGCGCTGTCGCCCATGACCTCCTTGCAAACCTCACTGCGGCTTAAGCATGAGAAGGACTCGCCAGGCGGAGACCTCGGCGGCACAGTCTGGCCCTAAAGGCTTCTATGGAAACGAGTCGGCCTCTTCCCATCAGACTCGATTCCAAGTGCCCTCTGTCCCTTTCTGCCCCCTACCAGCTCTGACACCAACATGGCCAAGGGGCTTCTGTGGGGGTGGGTGGCAGCTTCACAGGAAGGAGCACACAGCCCTGTGGCTTTCTGTGGCCCTCCAGAAGGCAAGGCCATTTTGGCGGGGGGGGCGGGCGCATCGGGCTTGACACGTTTGTTAAAAAGCAATCGTGTCACTTCAGAATGCATCCGAATAAACCCAGAACCTTCTACGCCAATCAGAAGGTATTTCTTAAACCGTAAGGAAACGTATGACAGCATATCAAGATGCTGCAGGAAACTGAAAAAAGCCACTTGGAACGCCCCTTCCCATGCTCTTTTTCCAGATTGTCTGTCCTGCTCTTCCTGCCTGATACCGGACCACGAGTCCTGCTGGGCCTGGGGACCCCGGACACGGAGGAGGATGCGGCTTCAGTCACCTTTTGGGACATGGTCAGACAGAGCAAGAATAATAAATGAGTGTGTGAATCAATCAATGCGTTAATAAATAGACTCAAGACGACACGTGACCAATGCAAGAACGTCGACTGGCATAATTTAAAAAGATTTTCAATAAGGGTTGAAACATAGCGTTTTTTTTTTCCTCGCCAACGCTCAGTTAACCAGGAAATTAAATCAACACGACCAGGAGCCTTCGCGTTAATGGCGGCTTTTCTGGATGGCCGTAATCACGCTCCTTAATAATGATGGTAATCCCTGACATCCGCGGGCACCGCATTCTTCCAAAGCACTTTCAGCCATTATTGTATTTGGTGCCTCTGTCCACAACGAGGAGACGGAAGCCCAGCGAAATCGTGACTGGCCCAGAGCTGTGTGCCTGGGGAGGGACAGAACCTGGGCTGGAAGCCAGGGTTCTGACTCCAAATGCAGGTCCTGCCAAGACAGCCAGCGGCCTTTTCACTTGGTCTAAGTGCTTTCCTGCCTCGTACTTCACTCCATTCTTGCTGTACGCTCGAGAGGCAGGTGGGCAGTAGACCTGCTCTGCTCATCGCATGGATGGGGTGGCCCAGGAGATCTGGAGTGGTGCACCTGAGTCCTGCCCCGTGTGCGTCCTCTAGGCCTGTGTCTGTGCTGGGAGGGCTGCCGCTTGAGCCTGTGCCTGGCCAGGTGACAGCACCAGCTGCTGAGCAAGACAGGCTAAGGATCAAAGAGCTGTAGGGGCCAGCAGGCCACCCAGGGCTTCCTCTGATCCCAGCCCCTGGAGCAGGAGCTGAGCCCCGCAGGAGGGCGCTGGGATGTCGGAAGCCTGGGAGATGGAAGCCTGCAGCTTCCTGCCCCGCAGCCCCACCGAGCGCCTAGCACGGGCCGTGGGAGACCACGGGGGAAGGAGGACAGGCAGGGGCTTGGGGAGCAGAAGGCCACCTTCGCCACACACTGAGACCCCCGAACCAAGGGTTCCTGCACGAGAGCCCCCAGAATCCTCCAGTGTCAGGAAACTCCGCCCCTTCCTTCAGGCCCCGGCTCCACTTCTGCTCGACCAGCGTCCACCTATTCTTTGACGACAAGCACAAGGCTCACCTCCTCCTCCAGGAAGTGCTCCCTGATGCCTCGTCCTCTGTACCTCTACCACAGCGGGATGGATATCGGATTTGTGTCCTGCTAGTTCATACGCCTCCTGTACCTCCTCAACCACGGGGACAATGCCCCGGACCTAGCACAGCACCTGGCAATGACCACTGCTCATTTCACGTTTGTAGCCCTGAGGCAGGCTGACCCTGGACCTCTCAGCCTCTCCCTTCCCAGGCTTGTGTGCAGCTGACTTTGGGATCAGCGAAGGGCAAGCAGCCTTTCTGACCATGAGGTATTCTCAGGAGGCTAAGAGGCAAGACTGGTTCCTAACCTTTTCTGAGTCTAAGGCCTCTGAGAATTTATGAGGCTATGGATACTTCACTCCCAGCCCTGAAAAATGCCCCAGGGCACATCAACGCCACCTGCCAGGCATTCGCAGATCCAGAGGTCAAGAGACTGCACATCTGTAACTAGTGACTTGGGGTTCTGGATCCTTTTGAATCAGGGAATGTGCCCAACATGTAGGACCCTTCCCGAAGCTCACCCCGGGCCTCATGCTTCTCATGGAGGCCTTGATACAATTAGGAGGACGTCCCAGCCCCCTGTGGGTTTGGGATTAGGAACCGCAGGAACAGGCAGTGTCAAGGTTTCTATCCTAATCCCAGAATCCAGCCCGGGGCCTGAAGTTCTCGTAGCTAAAAGTCCCCTGTTGCATTTTAAGTACTGACTTCCTGGCTCAGGGCTGGTTTTAAGACACAGCGATTGAGGTATTTTTGGAAATTTGGGGCACACATTGCTTTTTGGCAATGTGATTTTATTCATTAGTTGTACATTTTATTGGGTGTTTTTGGCAGAAAAATATATTAGCTGTAGAGTCTCCATGTATCGGTTTCACAGAAAGCTCATCACATCAGGTCCCTACCGAGTGTGCCTGGTTTGGGGGACACGGCCAGGACACCCTTGTCTCTGCTCTGATTGGTGGTCGAGCCAGTTCGCCCCGTCTTCCCCGGGGTTCCCCACACAGAGCACGCCTTGAGGGTGGGGGGTGGAGAAGAGCTTGTCCATCGGCGCCTCCCTGTGCTATGGAATTTCTGTGAAGATGCTAGAAGCTGTCCACCCAAAGCGAGCATGACCTTCGAAGGTGACCCCCCCAAAAGTCCAGGAGGCCCGGCCTGTATTCAAGTCTTGGGGGAAGGAGCCCAGTGGGGTGGGCTGGGGCTGCGGAAGGGAAAGCCGAGGATAACGCAAAGTCTCGAAGAGGTTCCAGAACCTTCTGGAAACAGCTGGGGACTCGGAGGTCCCATCCTTTCCTTTTGGTGCCTCAAGCTCCTCATCTGTAAGTGGATAAAGTGCCCTGCCTTTCTCACCAGCCGGCCGTAGGGACCTGCGCTGGGGCCTTTGAGAGGTGCGAAGTCCCACGCAGACAGACCGACG